CAACAATCTAATTGTTAATTTTTATATATTGTATCATGTGACAATTAGCATCACATGATTACGACGCCAATCACTAGTCCTTCTATAATTATGTCATCTCTAAATGCATGAGATATTATTGGTCTAAAATGACGTAATTACAGATTGTCAGATGTAAACAAACATCATATGATCTACATTACACCTGATCAAGAAATTTGATTGGGTGATATGAAGATCACATTTATGTTTACAAGGACTGGTCCTAGGACCAGTCCTTTAATAGTTCATGGTCCTTATCAGTTCTGGTCCAGGACCGGTCCAGACCGGTCTTTTTCAGGACCGATGCAACCCTATTTTAATTATTTAAATGATTGTCTAGATATACTAACAGTACAATGTACTGTACATTAAAATATATCTACAAAATCATATGCATGTTTCTCAAAATTCATGCACATGCCATCACTATAATAGACAGGTTTGAATATTTGTTTAGATTTAGAGATACGATCCGGATATCTTCTAATGATTTTCTACAGGGGGATCCCAGATTTCTGAGTCGTAATGGCCAGAATGTGTTGTGGTTAGGGTCAGGGTTAGGACTGAGTTAGGGTTAGCAGGAGCTATAGGCTATAGTAAAATTATCAGCTGGGCACTTTTCACTTAATGAACAACCATTGTTTCATTACTAAAATTCTTAGTGATCTTGGGGCAAAATTGATCAACTCTGGCCCTTTTGGCAAGAGTTCCAAAGCGTCCGACCCAGAATTTTGGGGATCTCCCTGTAGGAGTTCCTCTAATGTAAAGAATCCAGATATCCGGATCTCTGTTAAATTTTAAACAGAAAATGGATAACGGATCTCATCTCTAGTTTAGAGGTACTATATCTTTAATGTAATAAACAAGTAATAAACTAATAATTTGATAATAATAAACAGGTATATATTACATAATAATTTAATTCAGTAATTAGTTTAACAGTCTATCCAGTCTTATACCTAGTTGGAACCGGTCCGATAGATTTGCCCAAAATTTCTATTATGTATTTCTGGATCATAGCTTTATAAAAATAAAATTTTAATTTTATAATCTAAAAAATTTTTAAATTTTTTAAATAAAAGTCTAGGTAGGTGGGGGTTTTTTTTTTATTTTGTTATGAGAACCAAAAAAATTAACTTTATATGGCCTTACGGATATATATTAAAATTCGGAAGTGTAATAAATAATTATTGTCAGTGATATAATTGTCGGCAAAATAACTGTTGATGAAATGACTGTCGGTGAAATGACTGTCAGTGAAATAATTTGTAGGTAAAATAATTGTTGGCGAAATAATTGTATGTAAAATGATATTTCAGTAAATTGAGTGTCGGGGAATTAAGTGTCGGGGAATTGGTTGTCGGGAACCCATTGGATACAAAAATGGGTTTTATTGCAGAAAGGTGTGAACGGTCGCAGATCACATGTCATGGGGAATTCATGATATTTCCCAGATTTCCGAATTTTTCAAGGCCCGCTCTAATCGGGAAGTTTAATTTTTACTAATATAAATTTCCAAATCCTTCGATTTCCCACATAGGTATATGAAATCGTTGTTCACACATTTTTGAAAACGGCTGTAATTATTTTATTACACTGATCATGCTGAAATCAATAACTTATCGAATTCGGCCGAAATTATCATCGGCAAATTTTTTTGTAAAATTTGAATTTATTTTCGCAGATCGAATTTAAAAATCCTGTAAAAATCTGCATTTTCGCAGAAAATTGCAGACCTGCACTAAAAAAATTTCCCCGATGACTTATTTCCCCGTAGCGGCGAAATAAGGTCTTTTATATGACGTTATGGGGCTTTACGACTTATAATCACTGCTTTGATTAATAAAAAAAATCGAGTTTCGAGCAATGCCTGGAAGTCCGGGAAATAACAAATTGCTAGAAACTCGTTTTAAAGTAGTGACTATAAGTCGTAAAGCGATCATATAGAAATGTGGAATAATCACACATATCATTATACTTATAGGGAGTGCGCATATAGAGGTCTCATTTACTGTATTGCGTTAATTCGGGAAACACTAATTCGGGAAACGCTAATTCGAGTTATTTTTTGAAGGACCCGATTTTCAACAAGTGCGTTATTTCGTGCTTATACGATAACTTATTATTCGAGCATATAAAATATTAAACTATATTGGAATATCAATTTGCCAATGTTAATTTTTAAATTTAAATGTGTAATTGATTTTTTGGGCGAAGCTGAAATTTATAATTAGCAGGATGTTTGGCGTAATAAAATAATTAAAGTGTATTTATATTTATTCTAATGCTATTGTAAAGAAATTATTAAAACAAATATGGAACTTGCCGGTTTATTGCTTTAGATAATAATTCGAAATGAATTATATTATTGATGATAAAGGTTATACATTTTATAAATGTTACATAGATAATTGTTATATATTGTGTGAAAATGAGTATTAATTAAGCATATAATAATTTAATAATCTAAATACAGTATACAGTATTAAATTAACTTCTATTTATAATTTATCAAAACCTTTCATTGCAAGTTCATAAGCCATGAAAGTTGATGCATTTACGGGACCAGCACGTAGCATAACAGTTCCAAATCCTTTAAAAAATCCTCTTAATCCTTCATATCTATAAGTTCGTGAGAAACAATCTAAAGCACCTTTATATTTTCTGGTCTGAGGTGTAAAGCCATCCGTTTGTATTTTACTTTTTACTATATCTAGAGGATAGATTATCAACCACATTCCATATCCTGTAAAATAGATAAATTTAAAATTTTGAAGAGATATTTTTCATAAACCTGACTGATCAGTGTTTAAAATTCAGATCGAAACCTATATTGCACAAATGCAGCTGTGTCATAGGTTTTGATTGCACAGCACAAACCAACTACTAGTTGCACACATATGCATATAAATTTTATTTTTATATGCATAAATGTATCTTACATTTTTTGATTATATTTAATATTTTCCCTCAAAATTTAAGCTTAACCTTACTCGTATTTTATGTTCATTTTTTGGAACTCTTCAGGCCACGTATCTTTATTCTATCTAATATTTTATATTTAGACTAAATTTTTGTGCAAGCTCCTTATTTAAATTTAATTGCACACTTATGCACATACATTTAGAACTTGCACAAATAAAAAACTACGTCGCAAGTGCATCTTGTGCAAGGTAATTTTAAACACTAACTGATCATACAATAAACATAAAAAATACCTGCAAGAGCACCAAATAAATAAGACTTCCAGCTTTCAATACCTCTTGGGTTTTTTCCATATCCATCTGATCGTTTCAAAAACTCATATAAAAAGAAATATGTACCATATCCGTGAAATTCACGCACCATAGTCATCATTTGTCCTTTATAAATTCCACGAATCCCATGTGAAGAATAAATTTTTTTAATGCAATCAATTGGTCCAGAATATAACATGGACTTTTTAGCTGAAGAATTTGATTGTGTAGGTGTGATTTGAACCTGAAGGCCTATATAAATTTTATTATGCGTTTATATTAATGTAATTTAGGGATTTAGATTTCTTCACATAATTTATCAAGGTTTTTATTCATTCTACGAAAAACTTACGCGTACGAATATGTTCAACCGGACCTAATCGAATATCATATTATAATCATTATTTCTTATATACCAATACAATTTTTAACTCTTTAAATCAAAATATCATACCGGAAATAACTGAATTTGCTATGCCAGCAGCTGCTCCAGACATAAAAAATTGTGAATTTGTCAGGAGAGAATTTTTATTTCCATTTCTTTCATTAACTTTATTAAAATAACGTTTCATATGTTCTAATACAGCAAATTGAATCGATACGCATGCACCTATTCCTACTAAAGGCATTGTCGTTCCCTAATTTTTATAGGATTATTCAATAAAACTTTATAAAATTATGATTAAAGAAAAAACTGTTAGTAAAAAATAGAAATTTAACCTTATAAAATGCACTGAAACCTTCTTTGCTAGTTTTTCGTACACAATCAAGCATACTAGAATACAGTGGTGGTTGACCAGGTATTGGTATAGGTTGCGTTTGAAGTCTCTGATAATATATAAATTTATTTAAATTTTAATTAAGCTAAGTATTTTTTAGATTTATCCTGATGAAGGGTTACTTACAACTTTAACGGTATTAAATGGCTTTCATATAACAAAAGAGTTGACATGATTGATATGAATGAATTATTAATTAAATATAACGCATGCTGAATCAGTTAAAAAAAAAACCTACTTGACCAACTAACACTTGAGTGATACCACCAACAGTCCCACTAGCACATTCTTTAATCGCTATCATGAGTCCTCCTTTCTGTAAGGTATCTATCATTATCCCTCCTTTTTGTGAAGTATCTATCATGATTCCTCCTTTTTGTGAAGTATCTATCATGATTCCTGCTTTTTGTGAGGTATCTATCATGCCAAGTTCTATGTGTTTACGAACAAAAAAAGTTATTTATCTAAAGAACAATAATTAACTATATAATAAAGTCTCAGTGAATTATGGAATCGGGAACGGTATTATGCGTATGATTCTGCCATAGAATTATAAAAAAAAACGAATGTTAACCCAGCCTGCTATTCTAGCAGTAAAGCTTCTGTAATTTTTAAAAATAAAAAAATAATAATAATTCATTATTTGTAAGTTATATACAATCTTTTTATTAGTAATTTTTATAATATAGAGTTAAATATAGTTTAAAAGATTTACATTAAAAGAGTTTCATATGAGATAGGCATGCACTTTAGTCTCTTAAATGAAAATGCCCGAAGATTTAAAACAAGGTAATCCCAAAATTTCATTTTTAATAAAAAAAAAGAAAATTTTCTATTCTCGGTCATTGGTGGTAATGCGGTAATGCTTAACGTTAAACAAGAAATTTTATAACACAATGATGATTTAACATTAATTAATTTTCCCGAAACTTCCACACACATCAATTTACGTTTGATTTTAATGATGCTTGTAGTCGATCATTATTTATCAACTTGACTAAAGGTGTTCTCAAGCACCTCAATCAAGTGATTGGAAGCAAATTTTAATTAGTCGGAAATTAAATAAATGAATCAAATGAGTTACCATTCCGATGGCAAAATCAGGGAGA